AACCACAACCTCCCAAATCCGGCCTGTGTCTAGATTTCAGTAAATAATTAAATTTTGCCCTTGAAGTACATTTTTAAAATGTACTCATTTTTTTTTAATGTATTAATTAAAATTGTTAAAGAAATTATTTGTTTAGCCTTTTGCACTGATGATGCTTTTCTGAAAGAATGGTGGCAGCAGTGACCCCCCCCCCCCAAGTCATGAGGGTAGTTGAGGGTCCAAGAACCGACCCCGGAGAAATCCTATATGACAGAGCACTCGATCACAGTGACAAGTGTGAGACCAAGACTAGACCTGACACTGAGCCTCAGTAGAGTCCGTCTTCAACCTCGTGTCAATTTTTCAACTTGACTCAGATGACTGAGAACCTACGTCGACCGTCAGACCGTCTTTGGTCCCAATGTGGTCGCACTCTTGAAAAGAAAGAGATATATCGCCGTCTGCTCGAGCTATAGCGACTCGCGTCTTCTTCTTGATGTGGCGGATTTGAGTAGCTGTAATAAAAATTAAGATGTCGTGAATTCCAGATAGATGTAGCATGTGTTCTGTTGGAACTGAAGAAGCCTATTGGAAGAGAGGCGAAACTGGACGAAAAAAGTCCACGTCCAGTTCCCTAACAGAACTCTTCGACCTTCTGTTGGATTATTCACCAGTCTTTACAGAGAAATTGTTGTTTTTCTACATGTTTTTCTTCCATTTGCTTGCAATTAAAACTAAATCGGACTCCGTCCCCAGACCCACGGTTCACAGTACAGCAGTATGTGTATCCAGAGAGTAATTGTTGACTTGATACTAGCATGACCAGCGCTAATAACTCTGAGCAGTTTTTAGTTCCTGCAAAACTACATTCTGAAGTTGTGTTCCGTTGGCACTGTATCTCTCAGAGGATGTTTGCTCAGGACGGAGCACCTCTGGTGACGTAGGTCACAAGTATTTGAGACAAAATCCCCCACAAAGCAGTGGAGGACGGTGCCTCGTCCAGGTCTGTCAGGTGGCGTCAAACGCTGAAAGCTGAGATTTGTTGTAGTGCAACTTCAAACAGGGTTAAAAGGGCCGAGCCAGAAGAGTTCTGAGGAACTGTTGGAGACATTTGGTGTGTTTGAGCGGAGACGGTCGAACTGGAACAGTAGCTGTGACTTTCTCCAGTGCTAATGACCCAGTAACATCCAGCTAACGTGTCGGTCTTTGTTTAACTCCAAAGGTTTTTTTTGGTTGTGCGGAACACAACTGTTATTAGACCGCGGTGTTTTGGTGCAGCCCACACCACGCAGCTGTTTTCACCTCCGCAGCTCTCTACCTTTTCAGCAGTAAACCGCAGACAGACGAGGTTAGGGGGCTGCAGTGTTTTAATCATGTTGAAGCACTTAGCGGCCGAGCAGCGTAACAACTCCCTGTGGACTCGCTGGAGAGCAATATAAAAACTGAAACAAGACTAAACAGCAGACTTACAACCACCTGGCAGCTTATAAACATGTCTCTTAATGAAAATACTTGTCCTCGATGTGGACTGAAGGGTCTCAAAATATACAGGTGATACAGGAGTCGTTACAGACACACTGAGCATACGTAACCAAATATGACCTCGGCGTATCACATTTGTTTATCAAAATGTGGGATGGACTCCACTAGAGGGCGCCAAGCCATTTCAGGGGGCTGTAGCAAGGGAAATTAATTTGCACTTCAATAACAGTTTTGTAAAAGTTTTGAATTAAATCCAGTGAATGTTTGAAGACAACGATGTGAATATTTTTATTCTTCCATTGGGAGTAGTGGACACTTTCAGGTGGGAATCTTTAATGTTTGATGATGAACACTGTATGTACTGATGTTTTTCCTTAAAGTGGGATCCGTTCTGCACAACGGATCAACTTTTCCTCTGAATGAAAATGTCACCAGACGACATTCAAACAACGTGGTTGTTTAAAATTCCACAAAAATGCAGTGGCTTCACGGTGAATTTCCGCAGCGTTACTTGGAAACTTTTCCTCACCTTTAAATGGAAGTTTTTGGGGATCGGAATGTCACATGGTGGTGTTTTGAAGTAAGGGAAGCATGACTCACCCCAGACACTGGCCTACGACAAACTTCCATGACCAGAGGGAGGGGACATCTGCGGGGGCGGATGGTCTTCCCTGAAGTATTTGCCCCATGTGCCAGCTCTGCCCCGTCTGGAACATTAGCCGTAAACGAAGCAGGGCCGTGTTATGGAATAAAACCTGGACTGGTGAAATCATCCACCATATAATTAGCTTGTTTAGCTAGCATCTGACTTCTTAACGACTTCACCACACTGTATGTCTTACGCAGACGTCTGCTGGGAACAAAAGCCCCAGTGGGGCACACGTGCAGCTGCATTTACTAGAAAGGCTAGAATGGTTAAACCAGCTCCACATCTGACGGCTCAAAGCCGCTGAAGGCTGTCGAGCCACGGTGACGGGCAGCCTGGAGTGTTTTAAAAGGATCTCAATCACACCTAAGTAAATGGCTACTGTCCAGAAATAGCCTTCACTGTGAGTGAGGAAAAAGTCCCTGCTGTTGTACAGTTATATCCATCCATCCATCCATCCATCCATCCATCCATCCATCTATCTATCTATCAATACATCCATCCATCCACTCATCCATCCATCATCGTGATATCACATTAACACAATTTCCATCCATCCACTCATCCATCCATCATAGTGATATCACATTAACACAATCTAAAATATGTTAGGACGTGTCTTTCAACCAACACCAATAGTTTTTGTTACACCTCGTTGCAACTTTGTTATTTGCAATCTTTGAAATCTAGCGCCATCTGTATCTTTTCACAGTCATTTCTGGTGACTGTGCACTTCACCTCATTTTGTGAATCAGTCGGAAGACAACAGTGAGCGAACGTCTCCGTCCGACGGAACGGTCCTGTCAGGGACAGGGGATGTGGTCAGCCCTCTCCCCGACATGTTTGGGTTCTGCCGTCATTGCCGTGCTGATGGGAACGGCTGGATGGAACATGTTCAGACAGAGTGGGCGGCAGCAGGGCTTCCCACCCAAGTCACTCTCACTGCAGCAGACAGACAGACAGACAGACAGACAGATATCCACAGTGTTATGACCAGGCTGTCCTCAGACACTTGCTAAACCTCAGGCATCGTATCAGTCATCATGTGACGCACACAGGTGGCTGCTGCTGCCGCCTACTTTCTTTTACTGCATAATAAACCAAACCAGATTCAGACGTAAACTGTAAAAAAGAAACGGTTGAAACAAAGTAAATGTGAAAGTGCTGAGTTCACTGAAACGATCACTTTTTTATCGCTTCACTGTTTTATCATCGGCCCATTTATATCCTCTGTTCAAACCTTCACACACATATTTTCCGATCCCTTCGGTACCGAGGAAGACTCACACCTACGGTCGGACTGCGCTCTCCTGACACTTAGGAAGTGATAACAGAGACACGGCGCTCTTTATCTTGGCAGCGTGTCTGCCGGTGCTGTGCTCTAAGAACCTGTCAACAGTAGAAGTGTTCACACCCTGCAGCTCTGAACCCTGGACTCGGGCTCCGAACAGAACAAGCTGACACAACATTAGGCCGGACGGCCGTGTCAGTGTGGCCCGTAGACTGGGACGACAGTTGAGGCTCGAGCTTCACATACGTAGATCCTGTGTGTATTTCACCTCGATATATTAGCTCTAAAACCACATCATTATCCCCCTGATTTTACTGGCTAAAACACAGGGGTAAATATCTGTACAGGGCAAGTATTTCACATTTTCTTGAATTCCATTTTTTATCAAACGTACATTTACATCACATGGTAATGGACTGATGAATTAATGTAAACCCTGTTTGACCTACAACTTGGACTGCGTCTTAAATTCCAACTCCTCGCATGATTGACGTTGACGTCCCTTCAAGGACTAAAGGTTCCTCAGCTGAGACTCTCTCGCAGGTGCAACAGACCTAGAAATGTAGGAATCATTTTAAAGCCAGTCACTCATCATTATTCACGTTATTCAATCCAACAGCTGTAAAAAAAAAAAAAAAAGAGAATTTATTTATTCATGACTCCCTGGTGTGATCTGGTCCTGCAGGGGACGCTCAAACCCCACTTCAGTTTATATCAGTAGATTTATCACGGCACATTTTTGTGAAAATCTGTTGACGTTTCCTCCACTTCTCTTCGGCAAACCGTAAGAAACGGCGTGTTTGAGGTCAGTTGGGTTTGTCCAAACTGATCCCAATGAGCTGTGATCTTCCGCACAGATTCCCAGAACTTTTCCCTTTGTGTAGTTAAAAACTTCCCATCATTCTTCCCACTCCGGTCCAGGACTTCTAAACAGAGCGACGGCAGGTTAACCACTGCATTTCTCTACTTCTGGGCCTTTTGGTCCTGGTCCAACCCTTAGGTCCTGGTCCCGAGGGGGACTTGGGAAAAGCTAGGAGACAATAGTACAAGATATTAGATATTGTTGGGCAACTCGGTGAAGCTTTATGATACTTTTGACAAGATATTAGATATTGTTGGGCAACTTGGTGAAACTTTATGATACCGATTTTTTCCGATTCCAATTTCCTTCAGTTGACTATATAAAAAAGTCCAGTCTTCAGCAGAACATTTCATTTCTTATATAATAATCAGCCACAGATTCTCTCTTCAGTTCCCGACTTCTTCTTCTTCTTGGTGACTGGATGGAGGTACTAAATGAAAAATGGTTCTTGTTCACCCAACTCAAATAAAAGCCGGTGAAATTGTATCTATTTCATAATCTGTATTTATTTGCTGAGCTAATTTTTTACTCTTCACCCCAGACAAAAACAACTTCCTGCGTGACTTTTCTTGTCACTAATTTCAGCTCCGTTGTGGTTGATTTTTTTTGTCGGACTTTTGTATAAATACAGAGAAAGTACTATATTAATACAGAGGAAGTACCATGCAAATACAGAGGAAGTACTTGTGCGCACGTACATGTTAGTACACCGTCTGATTAAATGTTGCCCTTGTCTGCAGGTTGCCACTCCTACATACCCTGTTGTGGTCAAGATGGGACACGCTCACGCTGGTATGGGAAAGGTGAGTAAAAAACAAAACACCATCGCTGAGGTTCTGTGGTACTGTTCAGTGCCTGGGACTGTTTCTGTTTGAATCTGAATGATCTTTCTCTTCTGAAAACTTAACTCTTCGTAGAAAGATGAACTTTATTGATCCCAGGTTTAAAAAATCCACTGAACTCAAGGAAATAAATTCAATAACCACTGATTTACATATTTTAAGAGGACGAACTCTCAACTGTATAAAGCTAGATTCTCAGTTATACTTTGGTATGTTTTTCTACGTTAGTAATAATTATTATTTGGATGAAACAAAAAGGTGAGAAACACTGACATCTACCTGCTGCTCCCTGTCTCTGTGTTTAAGCAAAACACATATTAGGGAATGTTTAATCATAATTATCTGTGATGAATCCACAAATTAATTAAAAAAGATTAAGAAGCAATATTGAAGTTGTATTTTTAATAGTTTGACAGACCGATTTAAACCTGTAAAAAAAACAATTTTCTAAGTTTATTTTGTAATTTTAATACTTAATTAGTTAATTATAAATAGTTGTTATATTTATTTGCTATATTTACTGTGTGTCTAAAATCAATCCAAAAACTAAAGACAAAAAAAAAAACTGTCACATCTTAAATACTGAGGACTGTGATGTATTTGATGGTCGTGATTTTCCGGACATTTTCAGTGAATTTTAATTTAAAATCTTTGAGTGTCTTGTTTTCATTGACTCTGAAAAGATGACACTGCAGTTTTGTCGTTACTTTTCATATTCCCTTGTGTAGCGTATACAGCGTGGTTGCTAGAGCCAAGACAGAGCTATAAAAAAAAGTAAAGAATTCCGACGTGATACCAAATGACTTTGAAAAGAACTCCACAGTTATATACGGCAACATGACAAGTTTCTCCAAGGTCACGAAAATATGTGATTCTATCAGAACAGCATCGTCTGGGAGCAGGTTTACGTTAGAGGAGAAAGATCTGGAACGTTTACAGTCGCTCTGCCATCTCTCAAATCTGTTACAGTCGTCGTTGAGGGGGAAATCACGTTGTCTGTGTCCTTGTGCTTTAATCTGACTATAAACACATTTGATTGGTTACAAGGCTGAGACACACAAACACATCACGGCGATAAGGTTCCTGTGCTGCACATGTGCAGAGGCAGCACGCCTGCTGTTGTTGTTTCTCCTCCCCAGTCTGGACGGACGCAGTCGCATGGAAACATCTGCAGACTGATGCCTATCATCTGCGACACTGTACAAAGACACTTAAATGTTTTACTACACGGAAACAACACATCAAACGCTGCTGTAAAGAGGATGACAGAACGTATGTCTTTGATCCCGTCGGGAATTCTGAGGAGTCGCCGCTTCCTATGGCACTCTCACCCTCGTCTGTCTGCATGGGCTTGGTTTCCTGTTCAGATGCCAGACATGCTATAGAATTTCCCATAAGGCACCAGCACAACTTGGCTGCCTCCTGTAGGGAAGGACCTCGTTTGCCCCCTCGGACCTCACAGCGTTCTGAGAACAGGACAGGACTGCTGTGAGAGTTAAGTTAAGAGAAATATGTCACACGTTTCTTAGTGGCTCAAAAATATATACACATACAAATATATATATATCTATATATGTATATAATCTATACAGCTGAAAAATCAATCTGAGATAGAGAGCAATAAATTGATATTCGAGATATGAAAATAAGGAAAAAAAATATATATAAATAAATATATATATAAAATATATTTTAAAAACATATATATACATATATATGTACTTTATATATATATATATATATGTTTTTTTTTTAATAACCATTTGTCCTGAACCATACAACATTTAAACGTCGGATGGTACCTGAACGCAACTCGAGTGACAGCTGCGACTTTTTCATGGTGACGTCTTCATCTGTGTAGACCTGGCACCAGTTATTGAGCTGCTCTGCTCCTCAAGCTAGCATGAGCTTAGCTTCCACATGTACATTAATATTTTTTTATGCTAAACAAATGTAATATGTATATTAAGAAAATACATTCTAAAAATGTGAAGTGTCTTCAGATATGTTGGGGTTTGACTGGGTTCAGATATTGGTGACAGTAGAAAACAGTCCAGCCAGTTTCACCGTGACGTTTTCTGAAACTGGTCGGCTTTGTGTTCTGGCTGGTACGTCATTGGTTCTGGACGCTGACCAGTGTAACATGAGTTTTCCACCAGAAGCAGGTCTTGACGTGTGTGCCCCAGTTTTTCACCTTGCCTCTCGCTCCAAGGAGTTGTGTAATGGTCTTAGCTCACAGCTGGACCTGGCTCTCAGGTCGGAGCTTCACGGCTCTGATGTAAAGTCTGAGTCACTTTCTTTCGTTTGTCTCATCGCACCGAGCTAAATTTAGTCCGTGTAGTTTTAAAAACGTGACGTTCAGACGAACATTTTTAATCATAGTCCAAACTGTCGCACTTTAACTGGATAAAACTTGAACCTTTATTTACCACTAAACTAATAATAAAAAAAAAATTAAATTGAATGCCTTATTTTTCCGACAATCGGGAAATTTAGAGTGTGAGTCTTTGGAACCCACACAGGAGGCGCTGTTGGGTATATTGTTTCCTCCGGGACTTGGACCCGAGACCCTCTTCATGTAAAGCAGATGTGTTAACCACTACACTACAGAGCCACTGTTTGAAATGAAATTCCCCAGCATACCCATAGAGGGAGGCCAAGATTCATCAGTGGTATCTGTACCATAGTTTGAGAACCACTGCTTTGTCTATCAGCGGAGATGTTTCGTGATACTAACCTAGTACTAGTACACATATATCTGTGTATATGTCATACATAACTGTACCACAGGTATGACATACATGACTAATCAAGTCATCAATTGCGACAGCTGTACTTTCTAAACCTCGACTACTGCAGTAGAATCACAGGAAGTGAAGTTCTCATACGTGTCTTTGACTCACGTATTTGTGTGACTGGATTTAAAAGTGACTAAAGACTCGGTCCTACGACTTGATTTGACAGACTAATGGCTTTTACTGCAGTGAAGTGGCCTCATGTGGGTTTCATCAGACGTCGTGTTATGACCCATTAAAGTGACAACATTGTTTATAAGGCCACGACAACCATCAAAGATGTCTGCCCTCCTTTAAAACACACAAATGTGCTTTTATAGTTCCAGTACCGATCCCTCCTCTCTTCTTTTTTTTGCATCCTTTTACTTTATTTGACTTATCTCGTCATTTAAAAGACTTTTGTGTTTGTTTTTTTTCATTTTTTCACTTTGTATTTCAAAGAACAGTAAACCCAGCATTTGTATAAACATTTTGAGACCTCACAGACGGTCACACGGAAATGAAAGTACTCAGTGGAACTCCCACCTTAACAAAATACCAAAAACAACAATTTCGCACGTACACACTTCCCACACACTCGCATCTACCCACGACCACCGGGGGCAGTATAAAATGATCGGAAGGCTTGTGTGTTATTTGAAGATTATTTTTGTTAACTACTGTACGTAAACATGTCGTCTATGTGGCACCAAGCACCACTGAATTCTGGGTAATTTTATTTCTTTGATTTCTGATGGGATGCATTCTTACAAGTGAGGGAATTTCCGAGGAAATCGACGGCGGCACGATCAGCCTGGACGATCTGCCTGATCATTGGCTGCTGGTTGATCGGGTTTTGTCCTGTTTGCAGATCAAGGTGGAGAACCAGCAGGACTACCAGGACATCACCAGCGTGGTGGCTCTCGCCGGGACCTACGTCACCACCGAGCCCTACATCCTGTCCAAATACGACATTCGCATCCAGAAGATCGGCGGCAACTACAAGGCTTACATGTGAGCGGTTTTACCCACCCTGTTGAAGTAGTGGGTCAAAGTATCACCAACTACCACAGGGCAAAGGAACTGCATCACTACAGTACTTTAAAAAAGTACCGTTTTTAAATCAGTGACGATGACTCCTGAGCGTTGCCGTGTAGAAAAAGTACCGTTTTTAAATCAGTGACGGTGACTCCTGAGCGTTGCCAAAGTCGTGGCTCCATCACCTGGTGCAGCTCTCTTCCTGTAAACACGGCCAGGCAAACAGAACATGAGTCAACACCCTTTGTGTATCAGAGCAGTGATTGGATTAAAACCACACAGGCACAGAGGAGCCAAACCTTATCTAATCTGCCCCCCCACCCTCACCCTCACCCCCCCATCCCTTTGTGTGAAGGTGAGCGCACGTCTGTAAACTGCTCGCTGTAGGTGTGGATGTCAGTCGTCATTGTCCCCAGAGATCTCTGATACAGTCAGACGAGAAGTAATTGCGAGTGACTAACACTTGGCGGAGCGACGAGTCCTTTCCTGATAATTTTTTTTTTTTCATTTACAGGAGGACGTCCATTTCTGGCAACTGGAAGGCCAACACTGGGTCGGCCATGTTGGAGCAAATCGCAATGACTGACAGGTGAGCAGTGTATTAGTCACATGTTCTGAGGCGTCAACATTAACACATTAATTGCCTCGATACATATTGTTTAGATGTTAACTTTTTTTTTTTTTTTTTCGCAGATATCGTCTGTGGGTGGACTCCTGCGCTGAGATGTTCGGTGGTTTAGATGTCTGTGCAGTGAAGGCCGTCCATGGGAAAGATGGCAAAGACTACATCATTGAGGTCAGTGTCTGTTCAACATGTGAAAATTTTTGTTGTTTAACATCAGGGTCACGGTTCACCTGGTGATCAGTGTTTGTTAGGTCATGGTCACAGTGGGTGTTTTTATATATTAATATTTTATATTACATCATATAACTAGTACGGTACAGTACAGTACGGTGCAGTAATCATCATTGACCTCCAACAGAGGGAGCCATAGATCAAGGAGCCTTAATTCAAATGTTGGTAATAAATTGTGTTTTATTTTAAACTGGACGTAGCATTAGCATACACATACTTTAGCACTTGACAATTAGTACTAAGCTACTCATATGGTGTATTGACTCACGTGTTTCTGATATTGATTAGTATTTATTGAAGTTACAAATATTGTTCATTGCTGCGTAATAAACAAAATAAATTAATTAATCAGGTTAAGAAACTCAGCTGCATGGACTCTATGATGCTCTGTAAGCTCCCGCGGGCCGTACAAAACGATTTGGCAGGCCACATTTGGCCCTCAGGCCTTGAGTTTGACACGTGCGTGCATTAACCTATTACTACTGAAACTTCTTGCAGAAGTTCTTGGAGGGGTCGTGAACCCTCTGTTGCAGATGTCCAGAGAATAACAAACTGTATGTGCAGCTTTAACCCAGTCTTAGCTGGTATGGGCGGCAGCACCACCTGCAGCATTAAGAAGGTATAGTTTATTCAGCGTAGAAAACATACGTTAAATATTTTAACATTCATATCAGAGAGATTTTTCCGACTCTAACCCTTTGACAGACTCCTGAAGACCCAGATCTCTGGGTGAGAACTGAGCCACTGTTGGATTGATGTGAATTAAAGATCCAGAAACAGAAACAACATTAACACTGGTTTAATATTAAACAGCCGGCAGCTGCTGCCGTGTATATTTAGAGAAACTCAATACCAAAGTAGAAAATACACTGGCCGTTAGTTTCCAACCATTTCTGGCCTTGACGCTATCACTGCTCAGAAGAAAAGAACCCTTTTTAGACCTCCTTCCTCCTCCACCCAATAGGAGCCTCAATCAGCTAAAGGTTTGGCCCAGATCTTACCTGTTGACTGCTGTGATTGGCTGCAGCTCCACAACTGTGGTAGGGGCGGCTGGTGCGAAAGAGGGGTGGATAGATGGGTGGGTGGATGGATGAGTGGATGGATGGATGGATGAGTGGATGGATGAGTGGATAGATGGATGGATGAGTGGATGGATGAGTGGATGATAGATGGATGGATGAGTGGATGGATGATGGATGAGTGGATGGATGGATGGATAGATGGATGGATGGATGGATGAGTGGATGGATGAGTGGATAGATAGATGGATGAATGGATAGATGGATTAGTGGATGGATGAATGAGTGGATGGATGGATGAGTGGATGGATAGATGGATGGATGAATGGATGGATGAGTGGATGGATGAGGTGATAGATGGATGGATGGATGGATGGATGGATGAATGGATGGATGATTATTGGATGGATGATGGATTAGTGGATGGATGGTCCACATCGTCAGGTGACTCATTTCTAAATCTATAAATATTTTTTCATCTTTAATTTGTACTTGTTTTGTGAGTGATCCTTGGAAAATTATTATATATTTTCTCTGTAAAAAGATTTGGCACCAAAAAAGTTGGGATTCAAACCAAACCCACTCCCCTCCCAATTGTTTTTCATACCTTTAAACGTCTGAAGACTGAAATCCTACAGATTGTAGTAAAGTGATTTAAAAAGAGTGACTGAAATCCTACAGATTGTAGTAAAGAGTTTCATTTAAAATGAGTGGATGGATGGTCCACATCGTCAGGTGACTCATTTCTAAATCTATAAATATTTTTTCATCTTTAATCTGTACTTGTTCTGTGAGTGATCCTTGGAAAATGATTATATATTTTCTCTGTAAAAAGTTGGGATTCAAACCAAACCCACTCCCCTCCCAATTGTTTTTCATACCTTTAAACGTCTGAAGACTGAAATCCTACAGATTGTAGTAAAGTGATTTAAAAAGAGTTTCATTTAAAAAAAACACACAATTTCATAAAAAAAAAAAAAAAAAGTTGAACCAGTGCTAAGAAGCTAACAGACCAAATGAAATGATGCTGATAAGGAGTGGCTTGGTATAAACAAAATAAAAAACAATTAAAATGCTCAGACAGGTTTAGTCTCAACAGGATCTACAGTCGATGAAACAGGCTGAAAGTATTGCCTCGAGGAAGTTCTCCATCAACTAATTATAAACAGTGTAGGGCAACAGGAATGCGGGGGGATATCCAGGGGGATGAAAATGCTTCATCATTGGCCCGGAGCGTTGTTTTTAGAGACCGAGCTTCAAAATCGTAGGAAATGGGCTGCACCGTGACGTGGGACATGCCCATGTTTAGGCTAGGAACATCATGACATCACGCCAGTCTGTATGAGCACAGAGGGTGAGATCAGCAGTCAGAATATAGTCTCCCCCCTCCCTCCCTTTTTTTTTTCTAGTACGTTCTATCTCAGGAAATATCAAGCAGATGTGCAGTTTCAGAGTTGGACTCTTTGGACGGAGACACCAAGAGACACGGTTGTGTAACAATGATCCTCCTTGTCCTCCGTGTCCACGCGGCTCGGCCCCTCCCTCATCTCCACAGTCTCAGTTTTCTGCTCCCAGTATTGACTGTGCAGGATTTAACACAGCAGTTACATACAGATAGGTGCGACTACGTTGCGGTGTTATTTTAACGGAGTGAAAAACACCACAGTGTGTACCAGAAGTACCAGTGAGAGTACACACAGCATATGTGAGTCATTAAGACGCCGCCGTCTCTCCGTGTTCTTCTCCTGTTTACGCCTGCACCACAACTGTTTCCTTATTTTCAACGGGCACATGTTGTGCCGGCGGCGCCCACCCTCACGGCACACAACACGGCACACCGTCCAGACAGAACAATGGAGGGAAGCAGACGTGCGGAACAGCTCTCCTCTGTTCCCGAGGCCAGTGGCATCTCCGCCGCTCTGCCAAATGACTCTGTTTGACCAATAAATCAGCAGGGTGGATCCGGGCCCCGACTGCCACCACACGGCGTTTGAAGTGGAAGCCCGTCGGTCATTTGCCAGGCCCTTTTGCTCGGTCGTCTGTGGTTGCGACTCCACCGGCCAAAACGCCGGACCACGCCCCACCTCGCCGCCAATCTCCCAGCCAAGAATCTGGCTACACGCAGCAAAAGACAGGCCCCGAGGGGCTGTGTCTGGTCTGGCTGTGGCGTTCTGAACGGAGCCCATTTAAAGCCAGTGGAGATAAAAGACAATGGGATGTATTTCCAGAGGATAACAAACAATCTGGTCTCTTTTGAAGTTTTTTAATTTTCCTGCCTTTTTGGCTGCGTGAGCGTGTGAAACGTGAGGCCGACAGATATACAGCTGCACAGATGCTAATTCAGTTAGCGGTGGGAAAAACCCAGGGTAGCCCCGTGAGTGCTGTAGTGTAGTGTAGTGTAGCATCGTGTTTTGTTTCCCAAACTTTTTTTCTGAGGACCCATATTTTAAAAGTCACAAACCTTTCGCGACCCAAGTCAATAGACATAATTCGTAAACTTCTGGGAAACACGATGCAAGACGACCCAAAAAAACCCCAAAAACACTTGCGACCCATCTGAGGTCCGCGACCCAATCTTTGGGAAACAATGTTCTATAGTGTAGCGTTGGGCAGTATACTGTTGTATAGTGTACTCTAGTATAGTGTTCTGTGGTGTACTATATAATCTAGTATAGTAAAGTAGTGTAGTGTAGAATACTACAATTGTATATTTTGATTGACGTCTGCAGAAACTCTCTGATCTTTAGCTCGTTGTGCTACATATCGGGCTAACCGTTAGCTGTGTCCTGCCTCACTCACAGTTTCCTAGAACTTTTGTGTCTGTGACTGAAGAGAAGCAGAAAAGGATGAACTCTTCCACAGATCCCAGTCCAAACTGTGGGCCACGTGGTTTGATTACCCACTCGCGTCAATCTCTTTTATGCTGATTTTTCTTCTTTTTTTTTTAACGGTACATTTATATGCCTTTTGAGTTGTTTCACATCAGTGGATTTGGCCTCACTTTAAAGGCTTCTGCACAGCCCTGAGCCAGAACATCAGATGAGTTTAATGAAGAAATAAATCTTGCATCAATCGATTGTCATTAGTCGCAGCTCCAGGTCGTTCTCCATAATCCCATAATGTAGCCCACATAAAACAGAGCGGCTGCTGATTCACCGCGTTCTGTCAGCCTTCATCCTCGCCGCTGCATCAAAGGTCAGCTAATATTAGTTTAAGGAACAACGCGGCGCCGTGACTACCTTCGCACAGCAGGGTGGAAGAGCAGGAGCAGGTCGTCTGATTTCAGTTTGACTGGTGCCACGGATGAAAACAGCCCGGTGCGTTTGTTTGCTGGTCGTTCTCCGTCTGACGACTTTGTTTACGGCCCGTGGCCGGGGCGCGGTGCGGCCGCATCGTCCGACACCTCAGGCATCTGCCTCCATCAACCATCAACACCCAGGGCCGCAGCCGCACTCTGCTGCCCCGGTTTGTTTTGGTCTTTTGGGGGAAAAGAAGACGTCCTCGTGTGTGTTTGTGGTCCTGCGGTGCACGTGCGTGTGCACGTGTGAAGGGAAAGTTGTCGGGGTTTTTTCTGTCCCTTGGAGGTTAATTATGTGTGGCTTTGTTTGGGTTTCAAGAAAAAAAGGGGGGAAAACTCATCAAGATACCAAAGGAGTTTTTTTTTTTTTCCTCTACATTTTTATCAGAGAATTCTGGGGTGCGTCTTTGAGGTCATAGGTCACAACCCGCTACTTTATCTCGTCAGAGGTCTGACAGTTGTGTGGCAGAAAAGAAGAAAGAGTTTCCATAATTTGATCTGTTTTTGAAATTTTTGATGTTTTCTGATTTTCAAATTCCATCTTCATAATTCAGGCAAATATATTGATAAACTTACAGTATCAAAGGAGGGTTTTGAGAGACGCTCCCTAACCTATTTTAACCGTCAAAAGTCCTGTCTTAGAATTTTTTGACTGACCCATGTCTACCATTCGTTCAAACAGAGAACAACCCAGGTGGTTCCAACATGCAGCCGTTTTTCCTGACAGACTGCACCAGCTTCAAACACAGTTTGAACTTTTATGGTTCTATCATAAATATATAAATATACTACATAAATATATCGTAGCAGCCTGAGAAGGTGAAGATTAATGATGACACACAACCAGGCACACACACTCATCATCTTCACTTCTCTGGCTGTGGCTCACATCCAGGAGATGCCAGAACTTTCTAGAAGCTGTCAGAGTGCATGGGAACGGCCAGGAATCCACGTCTCTCCTGATTCGTCATATTAAA